GGTCCCCAACCCGCTGGGAAACCTCCCTTCCCCACGGCCCCTCCACTCTCGCCTCTGCTCTCTCCACCGTTCTTCTTGATCCAAAGCCTGTCTCCTATTTCTCTCCATGATCATATGGCAGAGAATAGGGACCCCACACTCACTGAGTCCTCAGTTCTAGGAACTTATCAGTGCCTTCCAAGCTTCTAAGAAATGGAACTTAGATCAGAGAGGGTTCCATCCCTGCTCCACACTGCCCTAACAGAGCCAGGATTGAGTACCTCAGACATGTCTCTGGGATGAAGAGGAAGAGGGGCTGAGGAGGGACAGCTCTCAGAGGGGCTGCATGGCCACCCCAGAATGCCTAAAGTTAGCAAGAGGCCAGTAAGCCTCACTTTCCTCCTCCCTTCCTTTCTCTCTTCTCCCCCCTCTCCTTCCTCCCTTCCATCCTTCCTCCCTTTGGCAAATCTTTATCAAATGTCTCCCATGTTCACAGCAATGTGGCCAGAGTTAGAGTTAGACCCAAAGCTAACAAGCTGGTGAAATAGGAGACTTTAACAAAATCATTTGTAACTGACTAGTAAATGATAGCTGTGAGAAGCGCTTGGCAGGAAGGATGATGGACACTTGAGACCAGGAGTAGGATTTTCATCCAGAAGTAAGTATGGGTGTGAGGTAACTGGGGGTAAGACCATCCCAGGTCAGAGATACAGCTTCTGCAACTCCCCTGTGGCAGGTGGGGAGCATAGGGTGACCCAGAAATGCAAGGTCCCTGGGGCTGGTACATAAGGGGTCTGGAGAGTGGGAGTGCCTGCTCACTAGTAAATAAATAAGGCCAAAGCTGTGACCGGGAGCATACCATGCAGGGCGTCAGGCTGTCACAGGGACAGGGTCCCTCCTACACAGCGCGGGAAGTGTCCATGGTGCATCCCATTATGTAAGGGCCATTCTGCCTGTTCTGTGGTTGCATGAGAGGTGCAGCCTGGAGGCAGGAAGAGAGCTTAGCAGCCTATTGCGGGGTGTTCTGCCTGGGGAAAGCCACCAAGCATAGATGGCAGAGACCATGGAAGTAGAAACGTTGCAGGAGCCAGCCCTGTGTGTAGTCCGAGTTACAACCTTAAACAGCATACCCCCTACAACAGCGGTTCTCAACTTCTAATGCTGCGACCCTTTAATCCAGTTCCTCATGTTGTGGTGACCCCAACCATAAAATTATTTTCTTTTTTTTAATTGATTTTTTACAGAGAGGTAGAGGGAGGGATAGAGAATTTAGGAAGTGAATAGTCAAACTATATGTTTAAACATCAATGAGAGAGAATCACTGATCAGCTGCCTCTTGTATACCCCTATTGGGGATGTGCCTGTAACCATGGTGCATGCCCTTGACCAGAATCAAACCTGGGACCCTTCAGTCCGCAGGCCGATGCTCTATCCACTGAGCCAAACCGGTTTCGGCCATAAAATTATAATGTAAATATCTGTGTTTTCTGATGGTTAAGGCGGCCCTGCTAGCGGTTCTCAACCTTAGGTTGAGATATTTAATGTAAACACAGATGTTTACATTACGATTCATAACAATAGCAAAATTACAGTTATGAAGTAGCAAGGAAAATAATTTTATGGTTGGGGGTCACCACAACATAAGGAACTGTATTAAAGGTTCACAATATTAGAAAGGTTGAGAACCACTACCCTACAGAGTCATCACAATTGGTTGGCTACTTTGTTCATCCATGTGGACTGAGTGCATGAGTGCAGGGCGGAGCTCTCCCCTCCACTTCTCCCTCCACTTCTCCGCTTGCAGCTCAGTGGCCCCAGCAAGGTCTCAGCAAAGTGTGCACTCCATCCATCCCACGGGGGCCCAGGATTCTTTCTCCCTGGTGTAAACCACTCTGTAGGTTGTTTGCAGGAGTAATCGCAAACTCAAGACAGTCCTGGTATTTTTGCTTAAACGATGTCACTCCTCTGGAACTCTGGAGCGCATCTTCGATTTTTCTTGCTGTCTGGTGCCATTGCTAATGACTGTTTCTCTTCTTACCTTGTAACAGTAGTTCTCAGCCTTTGTGTTTTATGAAACAATCCACCTGGAAGATTTGACAAGTTCTTATTAACGTAAAGAGGGGGCTATACAATGTAGTGCAACTTCAGGTTTAATTAAAAATAGGCCTAAAAGTGTGGGTATTAAGCTGACATGGACATGAAATTAATGTTATTATCTGGACAGGAAGTCTGAGTGGCCAGAGAAGCCATGGTGCTCAGAGAAAGCCTCTTCTTGAGGCCCAGCCTCTTCCTGGTGATGTAAGGCTGTGGCCAATGAAGAAAGCTTCCTGTGCTGCCCAGTGCAGTGAGCAGCAGCTAAGTGGCCGGCCACTGTGCCAGAGGATAAGGCTACTGAGTTGAAGAGAACATAGTGCTTGCCCTCTAGGAGTTCACAGCCTGCGCAGGCCAAGTCTACAGTGGATTAGGGAAGTCATCATGTGGTTCTTGTTAGGACATGTGAAAGGGTAGCAGGGATAAAAGAGTCAGTGAAAGCTGCAGAGAGACGTTCACACTTGGTGGATCTTGAAGAATGAGTTCAGATGGGCCCACATGAAGGGCGTTTCAGAAAGAAAAATGCGGCCTACAGGCGAGAGGTGTAACAGTCAGTGCCTGTGTTTTTAAGTAGTTCCATTTAGGCAGATCTTGGAGTATGTGAGCTAGTGGACTTAGTGAATGGTGGAAGCCACTGGGGAGGAGGGGGGACAAGGATTAAGAACATTGAACCTGACCATAGGAGCTGTCATTATTTTTATTAAATGAGAGGATGCATGCAGATTTTGATACAAAGACTGAGATACACTATGGGTTCAATAAAACTACTAGACAATTACTACTATTATATTTCAATGATGATGATGCCACAGATAATTCTTCAGCTGAGGTATAATATGAATTTATAGAAGATAAACATATAGTTTGACTATTCACTTCCTAAATGTCCTAACTCTTCTCCCTAAATCCTCTTCTCCCACTTCATTCTTCTCATCATTACAATCTCAGCACTATCACCTCTTCCTCGGCAAAACCTTCTCAACATTCCTGACTAAGCTCTGTCCTCCCTACTGGACTGTAGGCACCAAGAGGACAGTGCCCAGCGTAAAAAAGGGCTTAAAAATAATTAACTTTTTAAACAACATTGATTTTGCAATGGGCATAATGCTAAGTACTTCACAAATATAAACTCTTAATATTCACTTCAATTAAATTTGTTGAGGTAGGTATTCTGTTTATTTTCATTTTACAGAGATGGTGGCTGAGACAAGCAAGGTTAAAGTGACTTGTCCATGGTCACAAAAATGAGTAGGTAGTGGAGCCATGGGTGAATGGGATGGATAGATGGAAGGAAGAAAAGGAAGGAAGGAAGGAAGGAAGGAAGGAAGGAAGGAAGGAAGGAAGGAAGGAAGGAAGGAAGGAAAGAAGGAGAAGCACTATCCTCACCATCTTCACCACCTGATTTTTTTCTTCTCCAGACCCAGGACTCTCTAATATTTTAGAACTGTTTGTTGTTCTCAAGTGTTTTATTTATCATCACCAGTAAGCTCACCAAATCTGAAGAATGTTTAAAAAAAAATCTATCATATTAAGAAAGGGGTTGTATTTTCTTTTTCCTTAATTTTTAAAAAATATATTTTTATTGATTTCAGAGAGAGAGAGAGAGAGAGAGAGAGAGAGAGAGAGAGAGAGAGAGAGAGAGGAGAGGAGAGGAGAGGAGAGGAGAGGAGAGGAGAGGAGAGGAGAGGAGAGGAGAGGAGAGGAGAGGAGAGGAGAGGAGAGGAGAGGAGAGGAGAGGAGAGGAGAGGAGAGGAGAGGAGAGGAAAGTTAATGATGAGAGAGGACCATTGATTGACTGCCTCCTGCATGCCACCCACTGGGAATGGAGCCTGTAACCTGAGCTTGTGCCCTGACTGGGAATTGAACCATGACCTCCTGGTTCATAGGTGGACATTCAACCACTGAGCCATGCTGTCCAGACACTATTTTCTAAACAGTTATCTGCAAATGTTAATAATTAAGCTCTGAAACTTTTGAATTGCATTAAGTTGTGGCATAAGTTGCATCACTACTTTATAGGAGCCCCTGAAAGCACACTGGATCTGGATTCTAGAATGCTGCAAACCAGACCCATTTGTTCTACTTCAGCTTCCCCCAGGGAGAAGCAGGTCAGGGTCAGCTCTCTTGGGTACGGGATACCATCTGCATCTTTCAGTTCTATTAGTAAATCTCAATGTTTCTGGTTGCAGCTGATCTCTATCCAACTCACTGAAGCATATGAAATTATAATGGCCATTTGCAGTTCAGACAATATTTGCTTTATTTATATATTAATGAAAATGAAAACTACTCCTTGTGATTGTCTGAGGGTAGCCATGTTCATGAACTTCATTATCGATGGGGCACCTTATCTCACAGTTTTGTTCATTGCAAATGAAGTCTCTTTGAACATTAGCTCTCAGGGATTGAGCATTACAGAATCTAAACTTTGGAGGTCCAGAGTTTAAAGGAAATTTAGTGTTGATTTCCTTCCACCTGGCTTTTTGCAGGAAAATACACAAATAAATTTCTGAAAGGTTGGCCTCCAGCCTTCCTGGAACATGTCCTGTGAGGAAGGCCTCACTGGGTAAGACAAGGTCTAGCAGAGGGGTTCTAAACTCCGTGTCCAGTTGCCCCAGTTCAAATCCAGGCTCCACCAGCTACATGCATACTTTGGGCGATTTACCTGAGCTATCTGAGCCTTGGTTTCCTCTTCTGCAGTACAGAAAATAGTAACATCTTTCTAACAGGAGGGTAAAAGGATTTACTGAAAATCTATTTACAGACTTGAGTTTAATCATGTTCATCATCCTCATCATCACTCATTGATAAATTCACTGTATGATCAAGAACATATTTAAGAAGTTACTATCACAAACAAAGATGCAGACACAATTCAAGAATGCCCACACCACACCCGATTCTAAAGGCTTCCTTCTCTTCTTCCCTAGGAAACTGCTCAAAGACCTCATGCGAGTGGAACTCACAGCTTCCTGGATCCGGCTCAGCATTCAGTAAGTGCGGCCACTTTTGAACATTCATTACATAAATGCATCCGTGTCCTTTATCCTATTTTCTCTTTAAAAGCTCTCTTCAGCCAGCCGGAGCTCCCCACAAACACTTTGCCACCTGCCTCGGTCTTTCTTTCCTGCAGGCCAGCGATGGATCCAGAGATGAGAGGAAAGTTTGCTATCAGAACCCCACAATGAACACAGGGCATGTGTGAGAGTGTGGATGGGTTCACCCTATCATTCCCGTGGATAAAATTCACTGATTTTGTTCCCCTTTCGTCCTCTGAGTTTGTTTCATTTGGAGATATTCTGTCCCCCTCACTCAGTCCCAGGATCTTGCTCAGTAGAAAGAAATGCCAAAGAACCCAGACCAGTTTGTGAGACCAAACATGTCTTAAAGCCTTGAAGAACAATTCAGTTTCTTTTTGAGCCAGAATACGTTACTACTATATGAAAATGACTGCAGAAGAGAAATTCTGTACTGTAAGATGCTGGGGTACATTTTAGAAATTCCATTTGTTTTTAGCGAGTAAGCACTTTCAGCCATCTGCCTTTCCCATTGCACAGAAGGCTTTGTTTTCTGGTGAAGCCAGCAGTATTCTGCCCAATGTCCCCACCTCTTATTGCTTATCAGATGTTAGCTTCAGTGATGTGCATAACCTCCAACAGCAGCTCTCCTCGGCAATGGTTCTGTGGGCAAACAACTCGTTTTATGAATAAATCTGTAATAATATAACAACAAATACCAACATGCAAAAGGCTAACTGAAGGAAATATTTATGTTTTAAAGATGTAGTTTCCTCATAGATGAGTTTCAGAATGTCTTAATGTATTCTAGTTCTGAGAGTGGCGGAGTATAATTTGAGACATCAACTCTCACAAAGGGGCAGGTAGAAATGGAGGCTGTGGGGTTCCAGGCCTGGAAGAGGCTGATCAAAGAAAATGCCTTTGCCCTCCAAGGAATTGCTGAGCTCCCCTCATTGCTGTGGAATTTGCATATGCGCACAGAAAGGAGGAGGAGGAGGAGGGATGGGAAGAAATAAAAAGATGGTGCCTTCATTCTTCCCTACATCAGAATGGCTCAGTGTAACCCTGATCAGCTAAAGTCTGTATCACACAGGAGATTAGACCCACCGCTTTTGTTCCCAATAATAAAGGACATTTTATGTCTAATTCCCTACATGCTACATCTCTTTGGTAATGCCTTTGAAGTTGAGGCTGCAGCATTTCCTGAAAATTGTGAGATTTTTGTAAGTGAAAAGGAGGGGGCTGTTTGGCACACATTCTGTTCAAGTCTATTGGGTGTAATGTTACATGGGCCTGTGACTTTATCTTTTTCTGTCTCTGCCAGGGTCCCTCTCCTGGCCTTCTTTGTGATGCTGGGGCAGGGATGGGATGCAGGAAGAGGGTTTCAAGGATGGGTTTTCAGCTTATTCATGACACTTCCAACCGCTTCTCTACCTTCTCAACGTGATATGTATTTCTGCTTCTCAGGAAGAAATCCGTGTTCCCAACCTGAATTTGGGCTGAAGTTTCTAACCTAGGGGAGGCTCTGGTTTCTGAGATAATTAGTAAGAACTTTGGAGGGAACGCATGTTAATTTGTCTTTTGATATGGTGTTTCCATATCTACAATTACAGTCTGAAGAGGGGAAAAAATTTAATAATTTGCTGCTCCAAACCAGTGTGCAGTTATGTGATAATTTGAACCAAATTAAAAAAGAAGAAATGGAAAAAAAAAAACCCTCTCTTGGGGATAGTTAGAGCAGCTGCTCAGTGTAGGTGTGTCTAGCAGATGGCGATGCTTTCCTTGTGATCACAGCTTCTCCTGCACTGGGAACCTCATTCAACTTCCAGGGCCAGGAGGTCGCTTCGCCCAGAACAAGGACAGGGTTCTGGGAGATTGGTTACCAGGAGAACATAATCTGGTCTTTGTGTTGTCCATATACTTGGGCCTTGGGCTCTGCTCACCAATAACGAACTTGTGGTACATAGCAGGCTAGGAAACTGCTCCACCCTTAGGGGACTGTAATGATAGCAATGAATTTGCAGTTGAAATTTGCTCATTTCTTTTTTATTTTCCTCTAATTGAGATCTTTATTTGCTCTTCTTTAACAAAATGTACTTGGTATACAATATTATATTGGCCATATTAGTTTTAGATACAATATTGCAATTTGACATTTAAAAATTTATTTTTAAAATATATTTTTATTTCAGAGAGGAAGGGAGAGGGAGAGAGAGAGCTAGAAACAACAATGGCAAAAGTGAATCATTAATTAGCTACCTACTGGGGATCCAGCCCGGAACCTGAGCATGTGCCCTTGACTGGAATCAAACCTGGGACCCTTAAGTCTCAGGCCAATGCTCTATCCACTTAGCCAAACCAGCTAGGGCTGTGATTTGACATCTTTATACCTCATCATGTGACCACCCCCTTAGGTCTAGTAACAATCTGACACTGTGAAACTTACCACAGTGTTCTTGACTACATTCCCCTTCTGCTTTTTCACCCATCCAAGTCCTACATGAGAGTTGTAGTTTGGGATTTTCAAGAAGACTGATACAGAATAACATCAATGGAGAATACACTGACTACCAGCCTTCTCTGATAAATATAGACACTTCATTACAGGTTTTGTTTGGAGTTACAGTTTTCAACTTAGTCATCTAAATTCCTCCCTTTATTTTATTTTTTCAATTACAGTTGCCATATAGCATTATTTTAGTTTCAGAATACACATAGTGATTAGACACTTATATAACTTATGAAATGATCAACCGATACATCTATAACCCACCTGACATAATACATAGTTATTACAATATTATTTAATGTTGTTATATCTTACACCCCTATGACTATGCTGAAACTTCCAATTTGTACTTCTTAAACCCTTCACTTTTTTTTAACCCATCTACCAAACCCCCTCCCATTGGCAGCCTTCAAAATGTACTCTGTATTATGCATCTGTTTCTGTTATGCTGGTTTGTTTATTTTTTTTAATTCCACATATAAGTGAAATTAAATGCCATTTGTCTTCCTCTGTCTGATATTTCACTCACCACAATACCCTCTAGATCCATCCATGTTGTTACAGATGACAAGATTTCATTATTTTTTTATGGCTGAGTCATATTCCACTGGATATATGCATCACATCTTTATCAACTCACTTATTGATTGTCACTTGGGTAGCTTCCATATCTTGGCTATTGCAAATAATGCTGCAATAAACTTATAGATGTATATGCTCTTTGATTTAGTGTCTTACCTCCCTCTTCTTCCCCCTCCCCCCCCCCCGAATTGGAATTGCTGGTGTCTTTGTCTCTTGCTATAGTCTTTGTTTTAAAGTCTATTTTGTTAGGTATAAGTATTGCTTTTTTTTGTTGTTTCTTTTTTTTTTTTTCTTTCCATTTTCATGAAATATTTTTTTCTATCTTTATACTTTCAGTCTGGGTGTCTTTTAATCTGAAGTAGGTCTCTTATAGACAACATGTGTTAGGGTCTTGTTTTGTTAACCATTCAGCCTCCATATGTCTTTCAATTGGAGCATTTAATCCATTTGCAATTAATTGTTGACAGATACGTATTGATGCCTTTCTATTATTCACATTTTTATCTTTTTTATTCTTCTTCTTACAAAAGACCCTTAACATTTCTTGTAATATTGGTTTGGTGGTGATGAAGACATTTAATTCCTCTGTGTCTGGGAAGCTCTTTATTTGATCTTCAATTCTAAATGAAAACTTTGCTGCGTAGAGTAATCTTGGTTAAAGACATTGCTTTTCCTCACTTTGAATATATCTTTCTACTCCCTCCTGTCCTGAAATGTTTCTGTTGAAAAATCAGCTGATAGTTTTATGGGAATATTTTTTAGGTAAGTAATTGATTTTCTCTTGCTTCTTTTAAGATTCTCTTTTTGTCATTAGCCTTTGGTATATATTAATTATGATGTGCCTTGGTGTAGGCCTCTTTAGGTTCATTTTGTGCAGGACTCCATGCTTCCTGGACTTGTATGTCTAGGTAAGGCGAGTGTTCCACCATTATTTTTTCACATATCTCCTTAATTTATTGCTCGTATCCTTCTAGAATCTCCATGATGAGAGTGTTGGTACACTTGAAGTTGTCCCAAAGACTCCCCTATTTAATTTGTTTTATTTTTGCTGTTCTGATTGGGTGTTTTCTGCTTCCTTATCTTCCTAGTGCCACATGCAGCACAGATTGCCAGACCCCCTTCAGGATGCACCTTTAGACTCACAATGTCTAAAATCAGACCAAACCCCACTCAGTCACCATTCTCTCCCCAGATGCACCAGTCCCAGCTTCTGTCATCACTGACTTTGTCTTGCTTTTTATCCATTACCAAGAAAAGAGTAAATCTTTGACCTGAGCCTTTAAAAAGCCTTCTTTCCATCCCCTGTGTTGGCATAACCTTCCTGCTATTCCTTTCCCCATGGTTGTGAGGTCTTCTTAAGTGATGGTTATGCCTAAAGCCACCCTCTATGATTGCATCCTAAATACGGAAGGACTAACATTCCTGCAACATGGAAATCACCTGGCTGTTTCTTCATTAAGCTAGTCCCTGTCTGACACTTTATCTTCTCTTTAAGGGTGTCTTCTATTCCAATTAGGCAAGTTCAACTCCTGACTGCTAAAGATGCTCACTTCCCAACTCCAAGTATCTGCTACTCTTGGTCTCACCAGCAGGGAAACCCTTTCTCATTCTCTTAGTCTAAACTTCTGCATGGACTCTGTTCAGATCCTCCTGCTCAGAGGTCAGCCAACTCATTAGTCAACAGAGCCAAATATCAATAGTACAACGATTGAAATTTCTTTTCTTTTCTTTCCTTTTTATTTATTTATTTTTATTAAATTATTATCTGTGTATATATCTTACCATTGCCCCTCCCCCCCATGAAATTTCTTTTGAGAGCCAACTTTTTTAAACTTAAACTTCTTTTAATGCCACTTTTTCAAAATAGACTTGCCCAGGCCATGGT